AGCCTTGATGGAGATGCGCCTCAACGGGCAATCGGTCTCTTAGCTGTAGATGAGAAACTTGGCCAGTGCGGTACAACCGCTAACCTGGGGTTTTTAACGTGCATCACGCAGTAGTGATCACACGAACGCGTGCCGGTACGAAACTCATCCAGATCGAAACGGGCGGGGCGGCGGGGATCGAACCTTGGAGGTTCCCAGCGCAAGCTTTCGCTCCACGCTCCGAGCTGAGACGCGTTAGCCCACTCGGCCACTTCCTCCCCAGCCCCTGGCACTAAATTGGTTTGCTCTTTATGTTTATACAGCCTTGATGGAGATGCGCCTCAACGGGCAATCGGTCTCTTAGCTGTAGATGAGAAACTTGGCCAGTGCGGTACAACCGCTAACCTGGGGTTTTTAACGTGCATCACGCAGTAGTGATCACACGAACGCGTGCCGGTACGAAACTCATCCAGATCGAAACGGGCGGGGGCGGCGGGGATCGAACCTTGGAGGTTCCCAGCGCAAGCTTTCGCTCCACGCTCCGAGCTGAGACGCGTTAGCCCACTCGGCCACTTCCTCCCCAGCCCCTGGCACTAAATTGGTTTGCTCTTTATGCTTATACAGCCTTAGCCCCTGGCACTCCTTCGGGGCCAGCTTATGTAGCCTCGGAGAATGGACGCGCCCGGGGAGGCCGCTAGCAGTCGCGTCCATTATAACTCTCAAGGGTTTGCCGAAGGCACGTTCACCCAAAATGGGAAAGGGAGAGCCGGGCCCTTCGGGGAATTCGGCCTCGTGGTTCCTTGAATCCGGGAGGCCGACGCCATTGATGACGACGACTTAAATCCACTCATTTTATTTTTTTGGCAAACTCTTTTGCATTTATTTCTAGGACACACGCGGCCAGCGTGCTTGTTTCATAAGACCGTAAAAATATCCAGTTTCTGCGTGGCGCAGAAATAAGCTATATTACTGTATTCTTCAAATACCTGCACAGCAATACGGCTTGTACGCAGCTGGAAGCGACTCTATGCACAGTGGCAAGAACACATCCTCTGTCAAAGTGCAACCTCTACGGCGCATCACGAGACTGTATAGACCATGTCACGATAATATCTTTCTGCAGGTCTAGTCAGTTCGGTCACGCGACAAGACGGTGACGACAATCTACTTCATCTTACCATAGACCGCAACAGACAACACGAGAGCCATCGAAACCAATCCAGTGCCTTCAGAGTGTCGCGTGACCCTTGGGCGCAGCAACGCGCCGTGTGTGTAGTCCCCCTCACGGTGCTAGGTTGGCTGGGGTGACTCGTAGCGTCCGCAGCGGTCCACCATGGTGAAACACAGTAAGCAGAGTCTAAAGTCAAAGGAAATGAGCGGGAGTCACTTGAATGTAAAACATATAACGCAGAAAGCATGCATCGGAACAAAAACCAAGTAAAAGGCGGACTTACACGTAAAAAAATGCAGTGTACACTCTAAAAAAAAAAGGTGTCAGAGGAGAGTAAGTGCCCCAACTTACTCTATTTTAACTCTCTCTTCATCAAAGTTACTCTTTTGCGACCACTTCTTTCGAAGATACCCTCCCTTAACCCTCACTCGAACTCGAGAGTAACTGTAGCGAGAGTAAGTTTCTCCTCGCGATATCACGGGCTGTCAACAGATGGCGCCGCTATGGGGTCGGCGCTAGAGTTCCTGTATATGCTACGTAGGGAGCCTATACAGGAACTCTAGTCGGTGCTAACGTCTCTGGATATTTTTTCGTTTTTAGAGGTAGAGACAACTTTCCTCCTTTCCATCTACGATTCCTCTTTCCCCCCCAAAATTTTCCCCTCTCCCTCTCTAGCGCCGCCATTCGCAGTGTTGCCATTTTAGCGATTTTGTCGCTAGATTTAGCGATTTTCTATACATTTGGCGACGGATTTTTTTGATTTAGCGGCTAGCGACTTTTTTGGCGACTTCGGTGTTCAACCGTAATCTTGTTATTTTGAACAATTTTAGAGATGCTCGCGGGCTAAACCCTTTTGCTCCTCTAGCCGAGTTTGCTTGGGATATATGCTCAATTTAGCGGCGCGCTTAAAAACAATGTCTACACCGTAAACAATGCGGACCTGCAGACCATCTCTCCCGCGCCCATGTGTACCCATGTGCTCTCCGCCAAATGTTGAGAAGATTGTGGAACTGTTTAGGGAGGTGTCAGGTGGACATAATTTTACCTGGGAATTGCCTGTGAATAACTGCATTCAGTTTTCAGACATTTTGATCCTTTTTTTTAAGAACATGGCTGTTGGCAGTATTGTCCGCACACTAAGAAAAGCCTGGTTTTGTTTGAAAGTGCTCACTCTAAACTGGTAAAGAGGGATATAGCCTTGACAAGTGCGGCTCTGGAAAAAAAAGTTGCAATCAGCAGATGAAAATCAGTCCTGAACGACAATCAAAAAGGTTAAGAGACATTACAAATAATATAACAAATAAAAACCGTCCTATTTGTTTTTCAGTGTAAGTTTAACCTATCAAAATACCTGAGATATGGTTATTTAAGGTGCACTTATTTAAAAGGGTTTAATAAGCTTTTGGAATTCAGCGAATATTTTAGCGACTTCCTGGCGAATCTAGCGACTGTTTAGTGACTTCCTGGTCTCAATTTAGCGGCGCGTGCAAAAAAAGATGGTAACACTGGCCATTCGCTTCCTAACGTCAGACGGGAGGGCCAGGAGGGCGGTTCCGCTGTGTTATGTGATTAGCAGTAGCGTAGTCTTCCTTGTTTTGGTAATTTCCAGCGCGTGAAATTAATTTGGATATCATCGGGTTACTTACGTGAATCGAAGGTAAGCTGTTATTTCCGCAAAAGCACATATATATATCAATATTTTGCCGCAATCCCTATCATACCGCAGCGAGAGCTTTCGCGAGCAATGCTCTCGGCGATGCTAGATATGTGCGCGGCTGCGTTACAGTAAACTATTTATATTTGTAATAAAGACAAATACCTTGTAAAAATTTCGTTCCGTCGTCGATAGAGCCGCATGGTTAAGCTATTGTGAGAGCTCTATTTTGTTTGCAACCATTCTCCCTCGTGGCGAGCGTTGGTAATGCTACGCAAACGTGTGCACGGTGTAGACGCGAACGCGTCTGGAACTCATTATTTTGAGGTGTATCTACATGACTTCAACACGCATTTTGTTATAAGTACGAGTAGCAGTGTTTGGATGGAAAACAAACGTCGTGCAAAGTAGTGACCTTGAAGAGTTTGGACGGTGCGAGATCCAAACAACATTTCGGGTGAAGTTACACCATCGCACGTACTATCCCCACATGCGATAACGGGCAATCTCGTCCTCGAACCTCTACTGCGAAGCCGTGTTTGGTCTCAAATAACTCTGTAAAGGATTCTAGCTGGCAACTTTCGCTGTTTTTGATTGCTGGATTCTTCACTGAACACTGAAGGTGTGCAGTGAAGAAATGTTGCGTACAACTTTTATTATTTTGCCACATTAAACGGTGAATCCAAGACCAATTTTATTAGATCGCGTTCAAGGAATTCGTTATGAACGTGTTTAATGTCTCTGCCTACTTTTTTCTGCCTAGCTTCCACTGTAACATCCACGTAGATATTTTTTTAGACAAAACCCCCGAGACTGGGGGGAAGGAAGGACAACACAACACGAAGCACATGCATTGTGCAGACATTTTTGTTTATTTCAGCTCTTGTCGTGCGATTATATATACTGTATATCTCAAAAGACAAGTGTTGAAACTCATGAGCAGTGCAGTAAAATATAAGTAATGTAATTGGTTTCACACAAATGCAAAGCACATAAATAGTAAATATCGGAAGAGCCCAACTTTGTTGCAATTTAATTAAACTGCCAGATGTTATATGTATGCAGTTTGTGTATTCATGGTAGTGAAGATATGAAGAAAGTGTCTTAAATAAGACAATGCAGATTTTTTTTATTCAAGATCTTTTTAGGAAGCAATCAATGTTGCAGTCGAACAAGTCATCCCACAGGTGATTAGGAGAATATGCTTAAAATAAAAGATAACACAAAAAGAAACAGCTACTAGGGTGAGCTAGAGGGGGAGGTGTGCTCATTGCCTATTTCGCTCCGTTTTAGTGATCCAGGATGGAAGTGTGAAGAAGAGCACCTACAGCATCACTTCCAGCCTACTATGCCACAGCAGAAAATGAGCACACCATACCCCTCCAGCCCACTCTACCAGCACTCTTACAATAGAGAAGACACCATGAATGCTTTTCTTGCATGCGATCAAGTCCTCGTCTTTCTCTTCATATAAGTGTGTCCTCCCTTTCTCCTATTAGCACTTCAAAAAGATAAAGATGTCCATGGTGGTTGTGCTTCCTATTTTTGAGTGCCGAGATACTGGATTTCTGGTGTTTATCGGAAAACCAACTACTGTGTCACTGCCAAACAGGGATGGAAGCGCTAAATAAAAATTCTCCGAGCGTTGAAACTGAAAACTCCTCCGAAATCAACGACGTCTCGCGAGTACAATGGCCACTGACGCATTCAGCACGAACCCCAGCAGCCATTTCCGATGATAACAAAAGTGCCAATCCAACCGGCGATGACCACCAACCGACCTGAATGGCGATGATGATAAGAATTTCCAGTGACAGAGAAGTGGCTTTTGCAGCGATTGTGAGGCGAGCCGACAGGGAGACAACACCAGAAAGATGGTTGGCCTTGGTGATCGAGCGAAGTAAAGGACCACATGGACGGATGCCCAATGGTTGGTGGCCAAAAATAACAATCAAGCATAATCGGAAGCATAACCAGAATGTAACGTCGACAACGATGAAAAACAAGCATACCCAGTGCAAAAATTAACAACAGCCTACTGAATCGGGCAGTGGTCAGGTGGCCGAAGAAAGAGAATGGCCGTTGCCAGCGACCATAATAAACAGCCAACTGTACACCAATATAAAGAATCTGCTGGCCAGTAACATTGAGCTGGCCCTTAATCGCCAAACTGACCGAAAGAGAACAAGAAAGGTATACAGTCAGGAAATAAACTATCAGGTCATCGGGATTGAGCTGGAAAAGAAGGTGAATATTCTAGCAGAGCTGAATGATTTGATCTGCGCTTGCCAGCTGACATATGAGGAGGTGACAAAAGGAAGTTGAACTGGAAGGAGGCCATTAAAATAAAGATCAAGGAGCTTAGTCAACAGCTGTAAATTGTCACCAGTCAAACAGAACAAGGCTCCCTTGAGAGCATTAAAACAAATTTGCAAAGCCAACCAGTACCACTCTAACAACAAGGACCAGTTGAAGAAGCTTGAGGACCAGATCGAAGAGGAAAGGGCAGTTTTTCACAAAAAACCGATCACTGCGGCAAACCGGATTGAGTATCGGAAAACGAACACGCTGTTCGAGCTCGATCGGTCTGCCTTCTGCCGGAAACTTGACGAAGACCAGAAGGAGATGGACGAGAACATTGATGTTGATCAGGCGATTACTTTCTGGCGACGAATCTGGGCAACCGATGACGAAGAAGGGGAGCACCAGGAATTGATTGACCTATTGGACCCAGGGGAGGTGTACATGACTGGACGGGGGAGCAGCTGCTTCCAGGAATGAGGGAACCGCACCTGAGCAGCAAGCAAAGAGCACAGCCAGCATCAGTCCTACCGTTCACTTCTACACACGACTGTCATTCATTCAGAAAAATGCCTTACCCTTCGAGGCACTCGTCCCCTGCGGTGTACCTGACTGGAAGAAGGAGCCTGCTGCCAGAAATGAGGGAACCGCTCCTGAGTAGCGAGCAAAGAGCCCAGCCAGCGTCAGTCCTGTTGTTCACTTCTACACACGACTGTCATTCGTTCAGGGAAATGTCCTACCCTTCGAGGCAGTCGTCCCCTGCGGTGTACACGGCTGGATGGAGGAGCCTGCTGCCAGGGATGAGGGAACCGCACCTGAGTAGCGAGCAAAGAGCACAGCCAGCATCAGTCCTGTCGTTCACTTCTACACATGGCTGTCATTCAATCAGGGAAACGTCTCACCCTTTGAGGCAGTCGTCCCCTGCGATGTACATGGCTGGACGGAGGAGCCTGCTGCCAGGAATGAGGGAACCGCTCCTGAGTATCGAACAAAGACAACAGCCAGCGTCAGTCCTGTCGTTCACTTCTAGACACGGCTGTCATTTGTACTTTTATAAGGAATGCTCATAATTGTGGAGGGAGCTGCTCCCTGCAGCATTAATCGAGAATGGGCATAAAGCTCTTATATGTTCTGTGTGTAATTTCATGCAAAAGCAATATTGCACCCTTTGGCATTGACCTACTTTGTTTAAGCACAGAGCACTGACCAAGAGTTCTTATTAGGATGGAGCCTCCGATTTTCGATTTTTGTATCGAGACTTGCAGTGAACCTGTAAATTTTGTAGGCACAAAATGAAACCCCACAATATGAAGCATGCAGCAGACATTTGTATGGCAGAGTAGTCAATGGTCACAGAAATGCATTTGTTTTGAGAGGGACCAATAAAGACAAAAAGAAAGAAATTGTTGTCGTCCTGCCACCAATAGACCCACCTCACCAAACGTTCGGCGCATGCATGAAGCCGCCATAACTTTAGTTCACAATAGGTAGACGGTGGTGCCCGAAACGGCTTGTGCTGTCTCACGCGCAGAGTTCCAGTGTTTCGGGCACGTGCAGAAAGACTGAAGTTCCCTCAATGCATTGCGACAGCTGTGGCGCGTAGTCAAACTGGCTGGTGAGATCGGTTTATGGCATGAATTCCGTACGCCTCACCCCACTGGTGTTAAGGCTTGTTCTGACCTAACAAAGTGCGACACTGTTAATGCAAACAAGGGATGAAAAATGTTCATATCGGGCACAAAGTTGCACCCTATTATTTGGTGCCAGCATTTACTAATTCAAAGTAAAATGCAAAGAGTGCCGCAGTTGTACTCGCACTAACAATGTCATGCAGCATTTGTGTCTGGCCATCATGTTACTCAGCAACTGCAGCATCCGCATTGGACACAAACTCCCAGTCGCAGCTTTGCATCTCGCTGGAGTGGGCGGCTGTGAGTATGGGCAAGGCTCGTGCTGAAGCCGGGAATTTTATCAGCAGGCAGTTAAATTCCACTCACGCTGTTCATTACAGCAGGGACCAGGGGCGGATTTAGAGGGGGGGTCCGGATGTCCTGACCCCCTCTTGAATTTTGCGTGCGTAAAATTTAGGACGTGAAACGAGGGGGAGGGGGTTCCTAAACGTATGGTACGCTGACCCCCCCCCCCCCCCCCCCCCCTTCAAAAAATTCCTGCATCCGCCCCTGGCAGGGACGCATGTATGGTGCAAATCAACACTTACCCAAAGCACAGAAGAGCCTGCTGACATAAATTCCAATACTTTTTTACGATGTCCTCGGTACATACCGCACATATACGCATGGCAGGATAGTCAATTGTTGCAGGAATGCCCCAGAAAGCACATACCACATTTGAGATGGGCAAATACAAGCCGAAAAAGAAGGAACAGAAGAATTAGCCCAGAGTACGCCTGGCACACGGTCGAGTAAAGGATGATTGTGACTGCATATGTCGCTGCGTGTGCCCGGCTACTAAATGCTGGAATTGCGTGTGACTCGCCAACTGGGGGGCCCGCCTGAGGCACAGACTCCTGGTCGCAGTTTTGCACTTTGCTGGATTGTGCCTCTGTGTGCGAGGGCAAGGCTTGTGCTGAAATTGTAAACTTTGTCAGCATGCAGTTCAACGCTACTTGCATTAATTCATCACCTTGGACAAGCATATTCTCAATAATCTGTGAAGGAGGAAATACGACACCTGTGAGAGCAGCAGTTGAATGCAGAGATGGAAGCGTCTGGATGCTGTCTTCCTCCTACATTGGCTCCCCTGCTTAAAATAGGTAGCATTTTAATACCAAATCTAGCAACCAAGTGACTGCAAATTCACCATCTCTGACTGTGTCAACTTACCTTGGATGTTTCCCATTTCCCTTTCTCACGGTGGTCATCGAACTGGCTTTGGCGGCCTATGGCTAAAGTTGCTGTGACAGCGTCTGGTTTAAGTATTTTTGATGCCATGGCTCTGCCAGATCCGAGGTTCAAACTTATCCGGTGAAAAATGGTCCTGTCGAGAATGAACAGGGCTAACTTGCAAATCACGGTACAGTGCACTGAGAACACTAAAAAATTCGACTTTGTTTGGAGGTAGAGAGCGTCACACTGTTAGTACAGAAGAGTGATCGCCGCTTTTTCCTCTATCGGAATAAAAAGTTCGTCATCAAAACTGCTAGCGCGGTGGGAAGGGCTAATTTGGGACGCTAACCTAAGCGGTAAAATTTGGCGCAAAGCAACACTCCATGGAAGTAAAAGACGTAGAGACACCGATGCTCTGTTCGCGCTAACAGTGCCGCGCATTGTACGCCCTCCACGCGCGCGGACAGTACGAGCTGGAACACCCGATCCAACCTCTTTCTGCGACTGCCACAAGCTCCATTATTCCTCAACTTCGCTTTCTCTTCCTAGTTCGGACCACAGCTCTCTCAAAAACAGGTGGTAAGCCAAAGAAACATGAAAGGCGTTTTCGGCTCATGTTGTCCTCGATAGTAGCTTTTCGTATTTCCTAGAGGTTCACTGCGAGACACTCACAGCTGAAGCGGCCAATCGGCGGCTTCATCTATTCATATCGTGTCCCTTAAAAACTCAGACTACGCGAAAAACTTTGCCGGCGAACAACCGGGTTTTCGAGTGAAAAACAACGGGCTAAAACGGCAGAGCACCGAGGCCGCATTTCAGCTGAGACCGAGTTCGGCAGTCAGGCGCGTCAGGAAAAACATTGCATGTGTACCTATGTGAACGTGTGTGGAAGAGGTAACTAGCCCAGAAATGCTCACCTCACAAAGCTTGCTGCTTCTGGTAGGGACGAAATTTTTCCTCCCAATCATGTGGAGCCATGCCTTCTGCCTCTTCAGATCGGCTTTCCGAAGCGGAATGGCGAACAAATTTTTTCCACTACCAGTACTCTGGCTGCACCCAAAAGCGGAACACCCCGTCATCTAACACAAACGCTTACTACTTTACTTGCCTCATTACGGTTCAGAAACACCAGAACGTCGAGCTAAAGTCGTCGCCGGGTATCACGAAACACGCGAGCGGACGGAGCAGCCGAGCAGCTTGGAAGCAAATGGCGGACGGAAGTGGCGAGAATTCCGGAAATCACGTGACATCGCTCTCCTCCAATAGAAACAGATGTCGGCGCGGCAAAGAATGACGGTACTTGTAAAACGCAGTGAAAAAACATCGAGGGACTTTAGTCGGCGCATGTTCGACGCTGCTCGGCGCAGATTATTTTTTTTTTTTCGTATGTGCTTTCTTTTTTTGTTGGAAGGAAGATGGGCGAGGATGTCTTAATAAGTAAGTTGGTGCAGCCTACCTTTATTTAATTTTGTCAACGCACAATTCAAATGTTTTTCTGCAAAGTAAAAAAAAAAAAGGTGCGGAATTTACGGGTGATTCTTTGCTGCTTCTTTGTGCATATGCGTCGCCAGCGATATGAGCTCATAGGGACCGCCAAATGGGGCCGCCGATGTCCGCGTCTATGCATCGCCCTCCCGTCGCGGCGAAACGCTTGGGACTTTTCGCTTTAGATTATTATGTTGACTCTATGATCTTGACAGAAAAGCTTCGTACCCTAACTATGGGTTTATGGACTGCACTTCGTGTCAGGTGAATAACTTTTTTGCGATTGACTAGGTCAAGAAATTATTCTGAAATGTTGTTATACAAAGACGGCTTTATGACTTTACAGCACTACTGATGTCACAATAAGACGCCGAATGCCTCCGACATGGCGCCAAGGCAGACGACAATGTTGGCTTTGATCTACAGTTTAGCTGGAAGTGACGTCAGCTGCAATAAATCTATACTTAGAAGCGCAAAAAGAAACAAACAATTGAACTGTAAGAAGTAGTAGTGCAAACTCGGAGCGCTACTGGCAACTAAATTTTATTTGGAAAACAAGAACCTTTTTGCACACCAGTGGCGTAGCCAGAGGACGGCGTGGGGGGGGGGGGGGGGGGGGGGGTGTTCAAGAATTGGAACATTCCCCAAATTTCATGTTGTCCTCTTTACCTCTTCTTTACCGTTTCGCAACTTATTACGGCGAGGGGCCGTGCCCACAACATACCAAAGCAAAACGAAGAAAACGACGCTGTCCGTGGACTGGGTGAAAAACACATCTCCGGCTTCGGCTTTTGGAACAGCTAGCTCTCTCCAAACTCGGCCATTTTAGTAACCGAAGCTTTTCTTCAGGCCCGCAGATGAGAAGGGCTCAGCTCCCGACGTCACAAATGCCGCGAAATCCTTACCTCGAAGGACACTGGCCTCGCTTCAAGAATTGCAGCCGGCTTAACTAAAGTTCCCCCACCCTTTGAGTGTCAAGGACTCGATGACAATTTCAGGGCAGCGCAAGAAAATCTCAAAATAGCAATACTTTGACTTTACGAACCCCACAATGAGGAGGAAACGGGACGACAAAATAGCAAACAGCTTAGCGGTTTTTTTTGTCCCGTTTTTTTTTTTACGTTTTACTTGCCTGTACTCGTTTAGCTTCAAACAAAAATGCAAAAAAAGAACACACACACAAAAAACATTCACATCTTTGAAAAAAAACAACAAGAAAGGAAAGAAACAAGAGAGAAAAGTGACAGCATATGCGCTGTTGAAGGAGCTTTGGAATGCTATTAATCACTTGGTTTCAAAGCGCACCCATACCCATTTTCACCTCAAGAAAAAAGCAAGCTTTGCGCATTGTTCATATGCGGCGCGAAGTAGTTCTTGCGAGATTTGGTTGTCGGAGGAAAAAGCGATGCTTTTGGCGTTTGGAACGTGTATGTGTTGATAAGATAACAAGTATCTAGTCTACGATTCACTTACATATATCTTAATTCTCTACATAAAGGGGGAAATCAGTAATACTGCGCGAAATGCCAGACTTTTTTTACTATGGTTCTTGAGGTGAAAATGGGTATAGTTGACTTGAAGCGAATTATGCGATGAATATCTGACGAACGTCGCCCTACGGCACGCTCGCTTTGCGCGCGACGTAGCAGCCACTGTGCTGATGCCACGCGCTGAGCAAAAGCCGCCGGGCGTCGATATTTTGCGGCGTATTCGTCCCATGGACTTCAGCCTTAAATCGCTGCAGTGGGTAATGTTTACGTGCTTGCGTTTAGCATGTGAGTCGTGGAACTTCCTTTACGTATATAAACTTTCAAAAAAGAGTTCAAGAGTCAAGCTGTCGCTTGATGCTTTTTCAAAGATGATTATTGACCTACAACTTCAAGCGTGCCATCAATATCTCCAACAGAGTTGGCACATTCACGTCAGGCAGCATCGTCCACCCTAGGCGAGAGTGATGTTGTGGCCAACGACGCCGGTCTTTGTGTCGCAAGCCTCGATTTCGAGCTAATATCCAGCCTGGGCGGAGCGTTCGTTTTGTTAAATGAACTTCCTGGGGAAGTACAAGTTTTGACACAGATGTGGAGGGACCCCACCACTTAAAGGGCCGCCCACACTAGCGAGAAAACGCGCGTCGCACGCCGATCGCGGGAAGGCGCGTCCCGCATCCTGAACACCACACTAGATAGAGTTCTGCCGCCGCGAATGTCACGTGACAGCACAGGAGGCCTCGCGCACTCTTGAAGCACTCGAGCGAACGCATGATTTCCCGCAAGATCTCGAGGATTCAACCGATTTTTCGGAACGCGTTTTCAACGCGATCGGCGCGCCGCGCGCGTTTTCTCGCTAGTGTGGGCGGCCCTTAACTCGTCTGGGCGGTACAGGCAACTTGCATTTGCCCAGAGGCCTTGTATCCTAATGTAACCCGCCTGCTGCAAATCGTGGCCACCATGTTCGTTAGCAGCGCTGAAGCGGAACGTTTGTTTTCGAGACTCCGGAGACTGGGACGTTGAAGCACCTTAGTGCTTAAACGTCCCAGGGGCGCTTGCTACTTCGTTCTAAGCTGAGACCAGACGCTCCACCTTTAACGCGAGCTCGCTGGCTTCGGCAGTGCTTTGGTTGCGCGTGCCTGCGCGATCACACTTGTTTTTGCAAGGGCAGAAAGCTCGCGCTAAAAGCAGAGCTTCTAGTCTGAGCTTAGTCGGGAGCGCAGTATAGGGGCTGCGCTTTTGAACATCCACCGGAATATGCAAATCAGCACCGAAAGGGTACTCTCGCTTCTTTCTATCGACCGACGGCGGCTTCCACTAAATGTTTAAACCCCAGAAAGTAATAGAAACTGGTATTTTTCTCTTTCGCTTTCTTGTAAAACGACAACGAAAAACGGAAATAACCTAAAACATGACTATACAACGATAATTTCTGAAAAATTTTTCGTCTTTAAGAACTTGGAAATAATTATCTTTTTTTATCTTTACATATTCCTTAATAATTAAGAAAATAAATTTTAATCTCTCAAAATGCGTCCTAGACAACTCGGAAAAGCACCTAAGCCGGATGGAATTCAAAATATCGTATTGAAATCTTGCTCCAACATTGTAGCATCACACTTATTACTAATATTTACTAGGTCGCTAGAGAGTGGACGTCTACCATGATGATTAGAAGTTTGGTAATGTGGTCCCCATACACAAGAACGGTAAAAAAAATAGTGTCGAAGACTATAGGCTGATTTCCCTAACGAGTGAATGTTGTAAGATAATGGAACATATAATCTATTCTAATCTTATTAGTCATTTAAATATCAACAATTTCTCTTCCTCGGCTCAACACGGTTTCCGCACAGGGTTATCATGTAACATACAGCTCCTAGAAGTTTATCATGACCTTGCTTGTGCATTTGATAGATGCTGCCAAACTGATTGCATTTTTCTAGATTTCAGGAAAGCTTTTGACGTGGTTAATCACTCGCTCTTGCTTCAAAAATTACATAGCCTAAACATCGATGTAAAAGTTTTGCAATGGATAGCAGATTATCTTAATGCTGGGAAACAGCGCGTCATCATGAATGGATTTCATTCATCATATGTAAATGTAATGTCGAGTTCACCACTAGGCTCTGTTTTAGGGCCCCCTCCTTTTTCTAATTTTAATTAATCATATCACGCACGGAATTTAATCGAATATAAGGTTGTATGCTGACGATTGCGTTTTATACAGAGAAGTGACAGATGACACCGACGTCCAGGCCCTAGAGGGTGATTTAAATAAGATCACAGAGTGGTGTGACAAGTGGAAAATGTTCCTTAATGTATCCAAATGCGTCCACGCTCGATTCACTAGAAAACGTAAAACTGTCTCTGCCGTTTTTAAACTAAACAATCTTTCTTTGCAGCTTAGCACTGAGGCAGTTTATCTCGGGGTACGCCTAACCGTTGATTAAAGATGGAATAATCATGTGAAGTTCTTATGTTCTAAGGCCAGCGGCATGCTCTATTTTTTGCGTCGCAATTTCAGAAAAGTGTCGGCTCATTTGAAAGAAACTCTCTTCTTATATTATGTCCTCCCAATCCTGGACTATGCTTGTATTCTTTGGGACCCACACACGCAAACATGTATAAATCATATTGAAAGAATTCAAAACCACGCCGCTAGATATGTGCTAAATAACTAAAATTTTTATGACGGTGTCTCTCAATTAAAGCTTCAACTCGGATGGAAACCTTTACAACTAAGACGAAAGTGCCTCCGTCTCAAGTTCATGTATAATCCTTATCACGGTAGCGTCGGTATAGATAAGTCGAGATACCTATTGGAACCTCATTACGTTTCCCTTAGAACTAGTAATCAAAAAAAAGACCCGAGAATTTCGCGCACGGACCGACGTTCTAAAATATTCTTTTTTTCCGCGGGCAGTTAATGACTGGAATGTGCTGCCCGACTCACCTGTAGAGCTTCCTACTGTACAATCATTTTTTGATGAAAATATATTATTGTAGTCGGTTCGATGTGTGACTTCTGCACGCTGTTAATCATCTTTTGTTTCATATTATTGCAGTATATATTGGCATGTTTC